TTATATTAATTACTGCAAGGGACAAGAAATACCCACGTTATTTAGCATTTAAATTGAACATACCTTTTCACTCACCTAAGTTTAAAAAAACATTGCCCATTGAAAAATTCAATTTCCTCGTTTCTGTATAATTGGTGGGATGAAGAAGAAGTACATGTTTTTGCGTAATGTTTACAAATAGTTAGTGAAGTGGAAAAGAACATATTGCCAATAATATTATAAATTGAAAAATATATTTTTTAATTTAAGGTAATCAAAGCTAACGTTTGATAAAAGTATTTCTAAATCAAACAGCCTGAGCACACTTTTTTGGAATATCGGCATACTAGTAACTCTCATTTATGAGTCATACATTATAAAAGTACCACCAGCTACTCAAAAATCCTTTTTCTACAAATGTCACTAAAAGTGTCATTCTTAACGGATGCTGTCAGTGTCTAAAATGCCATTTTATGACACTGGTGTTAAAAGTGACTACTTTTAGCACTAGTGCTAAAAGTAATCACTTTTATTGCGTTTGTAGAAAAAATAGTGTATGATATTCGTGCTAAAAGTGATTTTATTTTGTTCAAAGGGATGGAACACTCCGCCTTCGGCATCGTGTCCCAAACTTCCCCTTTCACAAAATAAAATGTCACTTTTAGAACTTATATTATAACGTACTTATTTTGGCAATTGCTTAATTATACTGCTACGGCTAGTCAGCTTCAGTTCGGAGGCCATGGGTCTATGGGTTCCTTGTATACATCTTACCTTTGGGCGCCACCAATTTACATGTGACTTAACTAGGAAGATAACCTAATGATGTTATAAACAAAACCTGTGCAATTGGAGAGCTTATCAATAAAACAACTAATTAGGTACAATAATGTATCTGGCTTCTTTATTAAAAATAATAACAAAATATAGGGATAGCCAGGGGGCCAATTCTTGAAAGTGGTGAAAATATTCACCCGGTGAAAAATTTCACCACCTAATTTTCACCTGCCTTACTTGTTTTGTATTCTTGAGTCGTGGGTGAATTTACTTGAGGTGAATATAAAATAACACTTTGGCAACGTCGGAATATAGCTTTATTTTAGGAGGAAAATCGAAAACGCCTACAATTCTTAACCTTACTTTTGTGTTGTGTTTTTTCCGCAACCGTCAACCGACCGGTGACCGGTGACGGCGGTGACCAGTTTTCAAAAATTTAAATAAAAAGCAATATAAAGCAAGTATTGCTATTTGGCCGTGTAAATTCAACAGTGACAAGAACACACACAAGAACAACAGCAACAAGAACCTAACATCAAAATGTTTACCTCATTAATGTTTCAGAAATTGAGGTGATATAAAATAAAAAAATTGAACTACTTTTGTAGTTTTATCCAAAGCTGATATACTTGTGGGAGCTTCTAGGAAAGGATCTGAGATCTCTAAAAGAAGGCAAACAAGAGGTTTGGTTAACCTGAATAATTTCTTGATAAAAAATCACTAGTATTGCAAAAGGATTTTCTTGTCTATGTCTCATTCCATTTCCCCCGCCAACCGCTGCATCATCTATATCAAGATGTCTTCAATTTCAATTAGGTTCATTATTAATGAACCTATTGTTAATGAATCATTAACAATAGCTCGTTTTCCATACTTTATAATATAATAATAGGTTCACAAGCCAGTTATTTTATAGAAAATAGGAATCAAAATACAAAATCGGAGTAATCTGATAAAATAGTTAATAATTATTGACAATTACAATAATTATAAAAGAAATTACAAAGTACCGAAGTAAGATTAGAAATGCACGTTTTCACCAAAATTTGTAAAATTCACCACCCTTTTCGGTGGTGAATCTATTCACCCAATAAAAGGTGAAAATTTTCACCTTTTTTTTTTTCAAGAATATGATTATTTAAATTTTTGGTGAAAGCTTAGCAATTTCACCCGGTGAATATTATCACCATTTTCAAGAATTAGGCCCCACAGGAGGTTATTAAAAATGTGTTTAGAATAATGCTTGTACCAATTTATAAATATTTCATTATAAAAAAAAATAAGAATGTAAATAATGTATAAAAATATTGATTTTTAAGTAAATAGTTTTAACTGTCTGTTTACACTTGTGAAAGATTAGAACCACAATATCAGTTACACTCTACCAAGAGGCAAATTCAACACCAGAAAGGTGAAAATTATTGTTAGGGCAACCTCAGGGTAAAATTCTAGAATTTTATTTAAGGGGCACTTACCGAACGTAGATCAGTATCAAGTGATTTATATAAGATTTGCCTAAATAGTAAAAAGTGCAACTTACATGTGTACAAGTGTTGATTATCTTCAAAGGTGTGTGTAAATCCAGAAGTTTTGAAGGGATATTATCTACAGGTTCGGTCTCACTGTAGATAGACTATGGTATGGTAAGTGAGTCATAGTCATGAGTCCTATCCACGTGGTATCTGTTTTACGTAGAACTCAATGTGGTTCTAGCAGAGCGGTACCAAGAGGGTTGCTGAAGGGAGGCTACCAAAGCCAACTAAGAGCAATCTAGATCTAGTCTAGAATATCTTTCTAGGAGCTGTCCAACTATAGCCTAAGACTGTCTAGCTACAGCCTAGCACTAGGACTAGGAGTAGGATTGTCCAACTATAGCCTGAGACTAGGATTGTCCAACTATAGCCTGAGACTAGGACCCTATAACGATGTTCGTATAAAAAAAACAAATCGAGTCCCAAATATTAGAAATAATCTTACCTCAAATTGAGGGATACTCTAGACCAAAGGTGAAGTCTTAAACTTCCAAATGCTGCTCGGAACAGTCCTATTAAAAAAAAAATGGAACACGTGTTGTAGGTTAATATTTCCTGAAGAAAATCTCAAACTTACCGAAACAGAATCAAAAAATGACCAAGGGACGACTCTAGACAATTATCAGCAAGAAATTAGTCTAAAACTTGAGCTCCCTGGCACAAAATTCCAAAAAGTCTCGCCCCAAAAATAATTAGGGCCGAGGCCCGAGACCGGACGACTACTCAGCGTGAGGTCGCAGATCAAAAGGGCAGATTCTTCATTTAGAATTTAGATTTCGGAAGAAGACTTTCATCTGTCAAACTTCTAATTTTGACATTGAAGAAAATTATAGAAAAGGACGTGTTCAGTTTCACCCCAAAAGTACGAACTGAGAATCGGTTGTGTAAAAAATGACTGGTGAATGTTGAAAAGTGCCTATAGAACCTATATCAAAAGGTAGAACAGGTCTAAAGAAAACGCCTAGACAAAACAGCTGTTCAATGACATGATGGAAATGAAAAGTCAAAGAGTACAAAAAAACAACAATTATTATCATAACCTCAGATTATTGATTGGATTTGCAAACAGAGATGGTGATGGTACTAACTCCTTTTCCTAAGATTCTAATCAATAACAGCGGGCCCTGCCGTACTGAATCAAACCTTCCTAGATCAATTAACCAAACTTGCAAACCTGAACCAAAAAAACTTCTAGTAGAAGGCAGCACTCAAGGTAACAAAATCTGGGCACAAAAAAGATAGTTGTTTATTCATTTATTTCATTGTAGCTCTATATGGAATCATATCCAGTATGGCAAAACAAGGTAGCTTATTAGCCAAGAAATTGAAAACGTTACAATATCATAAATAACTATTATAAACAAAACCTTGTAATTGCAAAAAGTCTTAAATTAATTACATACATATAGGTTCATGAGAGAAATACCTGTTTACGCACCGGGCGAGATCCATGTGAACTACCCGTCCATGCAAATGGAAAAATTTCTTATTGAAACATATAGGTACATAGTAGTTAATTTATTGTGGTACGGTACGTAACTGTGAGGACTGTTACAGCTGCTCAGGAAACGTTCGAAGAGAAGATGGTACTTCTTCTTCTGGGTTCGTTTCCTTGTCTCTAAACTCCGACTTTTTGTCTAAATGCTTTTCAGGAACAGTTTTGTGTTGTTTAGAGAAACCAAACTGACGCATCCGGCTCTTTACTAACTCTCGAGCCTAATCCGCAATATCCAGATTTGAAATCCATGTGTCAAAGTTATATAATATTTTTTGAAATGTTTGATAAGACCCTGTTCCCAGAGGATGACAGACGGATATGCAGTACCTCGCCTCGCCACAATTTTAATTTGATGAAAAAATTTACATTTTTCCGAGATTTAATCCCCTCACAAAACTACATTTCCCTTCCGGTCTGAAACGAATAGGCTATACCGAGTTTTGTCTGTAAGTGACACGTGACGGGCCTTAGCAGGCGCGCAGGAAGCCAAAAAGACGAAAGTTTGGCAGAGAACATATTAGAGTGCATTAGTGTCGGGGTATTAAATTTCCTGAAGCAAAATGTACACCCTTTATAAAATAAAGTAGCGAAGAGGAAAGGCCAAAAACAACAAAGCCGGGAAATTAGGAAATATTTTTTTATGGAAAAATGGAACAAAAGCATCCGGTTTCACTATGACATCCATCTTGGGCTGGATACTTGTTTTCTACTTCCGTTGAAAAATTGGGGGCATAGACGTAGAGCCAAAAGAAATAAACGAATTGCCCCTTTTATCAGTAGCGTATTAGATGTGGAACTAATGGGCCAATCCATTTAATAAATGGATAACGTTTAGTTAATCTTTGGTGGAAACAATACTCTTCGAACTGTTATCCTCTTTCTTTTTTTGGATCAATTGGCTTAATGCCCTTAATGGAAAGCTATAGATAATATATAACCAATTTTTTTGCGCTACAATGTAATTTGAGGCCTATTCATGTTTTCCTGTAATGGCGGTTGGATTTATGATTTATAAGCTCAAGTAATCCTGGTATAATTCAAATAAAATTAAGTTACTCGTCTTTGTTTACTTCTGAATGGTAGGGGTAACTTTGAATCCAAAATAAAATCGGGAGAAGAGGCACGGCTTTGTCTAGACATTGCAATTAAATTAAAAAAGTCCTCAGAAATAAAAAAAAGACAGGATTCATTCATTCCATTCATTTTATGACCAAATGTATGGGTGCGGCGCGATGTTAAATACTAGAGAGGTAATCAACCTCTATTTATGGCACAGAATGAAAAAAGAGGGAATTTTTAAAAGGGAATTTTTCCTCTGCTACGAGGCAAAATGGAAAATAAATTACATTAAAGGATTTGAATAAATACATTTTGCATTTAAAAAGGTCGATTAAATCCCGCGGCTTTTGTTTCTAATATCAATTTTCACCCAATCATAAATCTCTTATTCCTGGAAGAGTTACATAATACAATTCCTAATCCGCTCATTAGAGAAACAGCCTCACCGAACTAACCAGGAAAAAAAAAACAAATGTTCAGAAAACGTGACTAAACTTCGAAATTAGATATCGGCTTAGCTAAGGGCTTGTTCTAAAGTTCCACAATATAGTTTGACAGTTTAACCCAATTTTATTGATGGAAACTGGCGGAAAATGAATAATATCTGGGATATACTAGGTCGTAAATTTTCAAACCCTGGAAAGATTACCTACTATCATACTTGTGGTATAAACTGACATGTAGGAGATATCCTTGAAATTTTAGGGCTTCCATTTTGTTCCCCTTTCATTTTAAAGGCTATTTAGAAGCGTATATGTAGCGTGGGTCCTAAAATCGAGTAGAGTGGAGTTGAATTATGGGCGAAATAGGGTTTTTTCAGCCTAAAAGAAGAGCTCGATTAGAGAGAAGAATGACAAATGTATGTATTCGTATAACCAACAACCCTTTGCCATCTCAAAAACAACTTATCCGATAAATCCGATACATTTTCTAAATTAAAACTCAGACATTGTATTTTTAAATTCTGCATCATTTAGTACCTACACATGGGAAAAAATTCCCTCATTTTTCATTCCTGTTTTCCCTTTACTCGTCAATCATCCCCAAAATCCTTTTGAATGTATACAATTTACGCTCGTTTTAATCCAGAATTCCAATATAACGTGATACAGAATAAAATCAAAATATTGTTTTCAGTGTTCTCGATTTCCGATTTTCCTTTCCACTATTCTTGAAAGGGTCTTTTTCGCCGCAAGAAATTGAAACTGATTGCATAATAAATCGAGTTGTCGAGAAGCTGGTGACATTTTTTTTTTTTGGGAAATCTCAATATCCTTTTCAGTAAGTTTTCGGAGTAACAATGACTTGAGAAACTTAACACTTACCAACTAAAACCATTAATTTTCTCCACCGACCCTCTCCTTTTAAGTCTTCAAACCTCGAAAGCTGCAAAAACTCCCCCTCTATTACGCTTCTGTCCTTAACCCAGTTCCTTTTTTATAACCATAAAAAGGGGTGGAGTACCTATAGAGGAAACGCGACAATGTTTAGGCTTGATAATATCCCCAAGGAACCCTCGAACTTTATATACTAGAATAATTACATCTTTGTGTCGTCGTGAAAAGGAAATGTTGGGAAAACATTCGAGAATACATACTAAAATTTGTCTTGTTTTTTTTTGCAGGGTCTCGACCCAACAGCCCACCTAAGACCGCTGAACTCTGAAATAGCAGCCCCTAGGATAGACAGCTACAGATTTTCCATGGCCAATTTGGAGGACTCTCAAGATGTTGACCTGGATGCCATTTTGGGCGAGTTGTGCGCTTTGGAGACTGTTTGTGACCAGGAAATTGGACATGCAAGAGAAAGCAAAAGATTTTCTGGTGAGTATAGATAGATGGAAGATTCAGCTATAATATGAAATGGCGTGGGTATATGAAATGATCTCCATTACTACATATTTTAATTGTATGAACTCAGTTTGCTTCCATTTTTGTTTTAAAAAAAGATGGTTAATTTTAGCTTATTTCGATGTTGATTTATCACCTTTTCTTCATTGAAATAAAGAGCATGCAGACTGACAACTATCAGTATTTTCAAAATTAAATAAGAAAAAAAAAATTGAATAGGTACCTGTATTTTTTTTTGAACTGTTAACTTCTCATGGGAAGTTTTACGTGGTTTACAAATAAAGTATGACTTATATGCTAATGATTCTTTAGACTAGGGTTCCTATACAAGCGTTCCTAAAATGTATGGTTGAAATATTTACAAGTATGATTATTATGAATGGTAAATGGTTACAAGTTACAAGTTTGATGTCCTGACGTGTTTGGACTTGTCAAGTGTCTTGGTAGGGGGGGTTGGGGGTGTCATAAAGAGGTTATTGGCACTCTTTTAGTTCGTTTGGATCTATTTGGTTGCTATTTTCAACTACAGGGTTGTCCAGTCTGGACTACCCTGTGGTGTGTTGTCCCTGTGGCTTCCTGGTCCTTTCCACATTGATAGGGGGTCGGAAGGTCCCTTGGATCTTAGTTCTGTAGCACCTCTTCATGGATCACCCGACGAGTTTGTCGGGTGATCCATGTCGACATGGTGTCTCTGGTGTATGTCCCGATATTGCTGGTAATGTCGAGTCTTCTGGTCGTCTTTATGAAAAAATTCCTTGTCCTGTTGAGGAGGTCGTCTTTGAGGGGTCGGATGTTGGCCCTCCTGTATACCCTGTCATTGGGTACGTACTGGTCCCATATTATGCTCAGTGCCGTCCTGAGCATTTTTGTCTCCGTGCTCCACAGCGCGGCTTTCGCCGATCGGAATGCCGAGCTCCACCAGGTTGTTAAAGAGGAGTTTTCTGTCCAGTTTAACTCCCAAGTATGTTAGGTCGTTGTACGGGTTGATCTGGTTGTTCTTGATTGTGATGTAGTTCTGTTCTGGTCGTCTTTTATGGTTGAAGTGTATTAGGTTGGTCTTTGCATGATTTAGTTTGAGTTTCCACTTAGTACAGTAGGTTATTGCCCTGACATGCTGTTCGACTTTCAGAGTCGAGATTCGGGTTTGTTTTGAGTTGGTGTACACAGCTATGTCGTCAGCATACGCGAGGTTGGTATTCGGTATATCGTTTATGTAGATATTGAAGAGAGTGGGGGATATGACACTGCCCTCTGTGATTGATTTTGTGTCAGATTTCGCGTTTCTGATGTTTACGCTGAATCTTCTGTTTCTAAGGTAGCTCTCCGTGATTCGAACTATCGCTGGGTTGAATCCCAGGTTAATCATTTTGTAGATGATGATGATTTCTTCAGACAGTATAATATGCCTTTTCCATGTCTAGTGTGGCTAGGGTAGTGGTTTGTTTTTTGTTATTGGCATCCATGGCATGGTCTATTAGTCTTGCGAGCTGTGATTCAGTCGTCATGTTCTATCTGAATCCGAATTGCTGGTTGATGATTATTTGGTTGTTTTCTAAGTGCTTAAGTTATCCTTTAGTTCAGGATCCGCTCCAGTACTTTCCCAAAGAATTTCAGTAGCGAAATGGGTCTGTAGTTTTCTCTTTTGTTTTGGTCGTTGCCTAGCTTGGTGAGCATGATGGTTTTGGCTTACCTTCAATCATTGGGGAAGTACTGGAGTTTCATGCATGCATTGTAGATGTACATACAAAGGCTTTCCTTGGTAGGAACTTGCAATCTTTTGCAACAATGCCGTCGTTCCCTACGGCCTTGTAGGGTTTTGATTTAGAGATAAGTCTGACGATCTCTCTAGGACTGGTCAGTATGTCATCTGCATTATTCGGGGCTTTGTCCACAAAATTCCAGAAGGTGTGGAAGACCTGCCTTCTGGTGGCGTCATCTGATAGATGTTCTGTGAGTTTACTTGTTTTGATTAGTTGACTTGCAAACGCCTCGGTTTTTCCTTGTGTGTCTGTGATTGTGTTTATTTATCCTGTTGCGTCGGTTACCCGTAGTGGGGGAATGTTTTGTGGGCTATTTCTGTTCCTGTAGCCTTTAATATGTTTCCATATGTTGCCTTCATCGTGGGATGCTAGCATTCTCTTCTTCCACTCCTCGTCTAGGTGTGACGACATTAGTGATTAACCAGGGTGCATTGATCCAGGTATTCAATTCGGTCGTAGTGGTCCCTGTTCTCGGGGCTCTTGCCCTTAGCTTGTTCCGTTTCTGTATTTACCTTTGAATTTGTTTGAGGAACTTTTGTTTGTTATTAATGGTTATCTTTGGTATGTGTTGTTCCTTGACCATCAGCGTGATGATATTTACGAGGCTTCGGATTTGTTGGACCACTTCGTTTGTCGTTACGTTTCTGTTGTTAATCGTAATGCCCTGGTTAATTGTGTTTTTGTATGCTGTCCAGTCAGCATCCTTGTAGTTTACGAATGGTTTTGGGGTATTGTTAGTATTTGTTGTCAATTTTGAACCAGACTGAAAAGTTATCGGATGTTGCTTTCAACACGTTTCTGGCGGTTATGTCTAGGTTTCTGGTGATTCCAATGTCTATAGTGGAGTTTGCTTGTGGTCTGGAGCTATAATCTGTAGGTCTGTTACATCTAGGATGCGATTGAGTAGGTTTCCGGCTATATTGGCGATGTGGTTATTCCATTCGGGTGTTTGGCGTTTAAATCTCCGACTAAAATCACTTTATGCTGGTTTGTGATATTTAGCATTTCTTGGTGGTGAAGTCGGTCGCCATTTTTGTTGCAGGCCACCACTACCTTGATACCCTGGAAAGTCACTGTGATCGACTCAGTGTTCGTCGAGTCCGATGGTATTTCCTCGCATTCTATGTTACTTTGGAGGTATAGGGCTATACCTCCTGACTCTACGTTTTGGTTTGGTCTGTTTTTATAATAGACATCATAGTCCTGTATCCTGGGTGGTGTTCTATTTTTAAGTCTCGTTTCTACAATTGCGATGCCTTGTGGTTTTCTCCTTTGGGCCAGGTCCCTTATTTCGTTTATCCGTCCGTCAGTCCGTTTATGTTGATAAGTAGGTAATATGTTCAGTGTCCTATTTTCCATAGCTTACAAGGATTTGAAGGATTTCTTGCTGGTTCTTTGCTTGGGACAATTTGTTGTTCAAAGTCCAGAAATTGGCATTTAGCTCATCGATCTCTTTCATTAATGTTTGGAAGTCTCCAAAATCGTCTGATTTGTCGGTCTGGTTAGGCAGTGGTGGAAATTCCTGTTTCGTGCAGGTCGCGGGTTTGTCCTGGTTTTTTGTCTGGCTGTTGGTGGCTTGGCTGTACGATACGCCTTGCTTGATTTTGTTTGCCGCTTGTTCACCATCGCAATTGGCACATTGCATTTTGATCTGGTCTTCGTTCACTCCACGCTTCCTAAGGCAGTCTATTGCTGAGTGAGAGCCTGCACATTTCAGGCATTTTATTGACTGTTAATAGTTATTAGCGCCGTGGCCGAAACCTTGGCATCTATAACATTGGGTTATATTATTGCGTTTATGGAAAGTTTCCCATTTTATGCAGGTATGTTCGATGTGTTTGGTCTTTTTGAGCAAGCCTATGTTAGTTTCTTTTACTGCGGTTATTAGGTAGGAATGGCCTTCTCGACGGTTAGTTTTCATCTGTACACGCAATCGTTAATTTGGTAATTTTGGCTAAGGATTTGTTTTACCTTCTCGGTGTCCATATTGGGGGGATCTTTGAATACTACCCTCTTCCGTCATTCAGTCCTAGGTGAGTATGTGTAGTATTGGACATTATCAGTCTCTAAATTTGATCGTACCAGGACGTCGTCTTCTAGGGTTTTAGTATATATTTTGATCTCTGTTGGTGGGTATTTTAGGAAGAAGGATTTCCCCGCTTAATTTTCGGTAATGGTGGTTTTAAACTGAGGTGGCCATTATAGGTGATGGTTTGGGTGCCCCGGTTTTTGGGGGTGTTGATGTGGGTTCTTCTGCTCCGGTTTGATCTACCGTCAATAGTCCGAAACGGTTACTGGTGGAAACATTGGCTTTTTCCATATCTTCATACTGATCATCCGATGATGGGACGGGACTGACTCTAGGCATGGTGATTTTCCCTGGCTTGGTGTAAACTTCTTCTTCTTCGTCCTTGTTCTCAAGGATCCTCTTGACTGGTCTTCCGATGACACCCTGGTTCCTAGAGTTCATTAGGGCGAGCCCTGGGGTCGGGTAACTCGGCACTTGTTCGCGACGCGCACGACTAAATTCACTTTGAAACTTAAACTTCGTACTTGGTTTTGCGTAAGCATCGGGTATTGGAACTAGTCAACAATACCGTCAGACAGACTATAAGAATCGCTTTGCTCTTAGAGCAAAACACGTTTACTCTGCAAGAGCCCAACTCGGAATCACATAGGAAGTCGAACGTTTAAAAAGCCTAAATTTAACGCTTTTGCGATCAGCAACTCTTAACTTTTCTCATTTTCTTCAAATGGTTTTCCGAAATATAATGATCCAGTCTTCTTCTCCGTTGATTTTATTGGTCTGCATAGTATCTTTTATTCCTAATTTATTTCCTTCCAACATTCTCCATATCTTTCTCTGGTTTGCGTACCTATTTCTTTCTAGGTCTATTGTGAATCTTTTCCAGTATCCTTCTTTCATTCTGGCATTTACTTTATTTCGATGTTTTGAAAAGTTCCTGTTTTTAGATACTTGATGTGTGCTTTCCTCATTTTCACATAATTGCTTATTTTCCTAAAGTCCTCCATTGCGCATCTTCTTTGTTCACTATTAAACTTTTTACGTGTTATCTTCTCTTAGTTAATCTATTCTTGTAACTGTTTCACACTCTCGATTCAATATTATCACGCTTGTCATTGTAATGCGTGGTTTAAATTTCGAATTATATCTATCCGGAAACTCATAAGAGCTACCAAATATTTTCTTAAATATTTTTGTAAAAAGTTGATTTTTTCATCAAATGAATTATTAAATAAGAATGATAATCGAGTTGTGTCTAATCAAAGGACGGTATCTTGGAAGCGATCCAGTTGCTGCATTTGAACGAATTAAATAATTCGTCATTAGAATAAATCATGAATATTCAATTACAAGTTCTCCTATCAAAGTTTCCCCGCCAAGACTTAACATTTTCATTAACTTTAAATGTTTTATATTATCCAAGAAACCAGCAACAAGAAAGTTCCCAAGAAAGGAGTTTAGAAAATTAAGCTGTACAACTGAAACTTTGTTAAGTAAGTCGTGTTTTGCTCGAAAGTTTAAAGTTTTAAGTATGTCGCCAGGATTTTCGAAGTTGTCATAAAAGGCGGCAATAGCAATGTTTTTGGTTGGGATATTATGAAGATTGGGGATGTTTAAATCCGTCAGAATCTCCTTATGCAAATTCCGTAATAAAAATAGATTATCCAGAATTCCTGGATGGCTATTCCTAAGTAGCCGTCTTAAATCTGGAAATCTATTTTCGGGTAAATTTATCCGTGGCGACCAGGATCTTGAACTTTAAAGACTAAAATAATGTTTGTGTTTACGAGGGGTACCTATAATAAGTTTTAATATGTAGCGAAAATGTATTTTCAGAAGGAACAATATTCGGTTCAGCGGCTTCGAAAGGATAGAATTTTTTCTAGAAAATATTCAAAAGGAATCTATTGCAAAGTTTTTGCATTTCGATCCTATTAAAGAAGTGGAAACCGAGGTGGAAACTTTTAAAACACTATCTACTATCCAAATCCTGGCAACATAGAAAACATTTTTAAAACTTTTCTACGGCGAAGCACAATCTCATGCTCCCTAATTTAAAGTAGAGAAAAGTTGGCATAAAATTTTCTAGATTTCACAAAACTTTCACACAAACTTCGAATTTCTAATAATAGAAAAATCTTTTGCAGACGTTCAGAAACTCTCCCTCCACGAATCCCGCACACACAGTCGATCATCATCGGAAGCTTCAAGAGGTTTGACAGACGACTCATCGATTTTAGGCGGGAAAAACGAAACGGGTCGCACGGACTCACCCGATAACGATTCGGCTTTTAGCGATACTGTATCGATGCTATCGAGCGAATCGTCTGCAAGTAGCGGTGCTAGTGGCGCTAAACCTCAAACATTAAATTTACAAAATATTCATCAGGTGAGCATATTGCATCATAGTTGTTTTAGCAATTTTATTGTTCGGATAATTGAAAATGTTATCGCTTTTTCATTGATTAAACTTATTTTATTTTTTTTTCGTCTAGGACGATGCATCGCGAATTAAAGCTGAAAAAATCCGCATGGCAATGGAAAAAATCAAAGAAGCAAACATCCAAAAGCTGTTTGTGAAAGTTTTCACAACCGATGGGTCAGCTAAATCCTTATTGGTGGATGAAAAAATGTTGTGTTCCTTTGTCACGAGGCTATTGGCTGATAAAAATCATGTGAAAATGGACCCTAAGTGGGCTATTGTAGAACATTTACCTGATTTGTATATGGGTAAGTAGCAGCCATCAAATCTACAAATGAAATACAAAATTTAACTTTTTATAATTATTCATATAGAACGTTACTATGAAGACCACGAGCTCTTAGTGGATAACCTTTTGCTGTGGACCAGAGAATCAAAAAATAAAATCTACTTCGTTGAACGACAAGATAAAATTAAGCTTTTTACTCAACCAGAGCAGTTCCTACTATCTTGCAGTGATAAAAGAGATTCCTTGGAGTATGACGAACATTCTAGAAATATGATGCTGGAGGATTTTTTCGCCTCTACTAATGGAAGCTTACCAGAGGTGGAAGGTCCTCTTTATTTAAAGGCTGACTCCAAAAAAGGATGGAAAAAGTATCATTTTGTCCTCAGAGCGTCCGGATTGTATTATTTTCCCAAAGAAAAAATTAAAAGTGCCAAAGATTTGGTTTGTTTGGCTACTTTTGATAACAATCAGGTGTGTTTATTATTTATTTATTTTCCACTTTCAATATCTCAACTTTTTTTTATGTAGATCTACTATGGAGTTGGCTGGAAGAAAAAATACAAAGCTCCAACTGACTTTTGTTTCGCCATTAAGCATCCAAGATTACAAGAACCAAAATCAACCAAGTTTATAAAATATCTTTGCGCTGAGGACCAGACTATCCTGGAAAAATGGATCGTAGGTATGAGGATAGCAAAATTTGGCAAGCAGCTCATGTATAATTATAGGTGAGTGAATCTTTTTTGTAAAAAAAAAACAGGATTTTTTCACAATTTCGTATTTTAGGGCATTAATGGATGAACTGGCACAAGAAGAAATGGATATTTTGGCAAATGCTAGAAGTTGTTCCGTACAGTCAATTGCTGTACAAAGTATACAATCAAATAGTACCACCCCAACTCAAGGGTAAGATGCAGTATGGCTTCAATTTACAATTTTAAAATTCAATTTCCCTTTTCTAGATACTCTGGCAGCGAAGCAGGCTATGGCACAGCTTCAGGAAGTGAAATCTATTCTGCAACCAGTGAAACTAGCTCCAGCTCTGGCAGACATAGTAGAGCGAGTAGTTCCAGTTCTAGTGGTTGTATGTCAGATGGAGCTCCATCTAGTTGCGAGAACGCTTTTGACTCCGAATTTCCAATGGGTAAGATCTTCTAAACATTAACTTGATGCACTTTTTAATGACATATCATTTTCACAGGCACAATAAAACGAAAACCTTCAATGAAACCAAACCTACCCCTAACGAATATGACACGACAGCTCAAGGAAGTTGGAGAAACTAGAGATGAAATGGACGGGACTTTACCTACAAGTCCCGTATCTTATACTAATACTGGGACTCTAACACGAAGGCATAGCAGGTAAAATATTTTGTTGAACTACAAAGCAAAGTTGTTATCAGCTCTAGTGCAAAAAAAATGCCATTTTCAAGTCACTCCAAACACAGGATAAGTTATTCTTTGTGAAATGCATTTATTTCATTTAAAATCATTATTTATTTATAAAGGCATAGGTTCCTAGTTATACAGGTCTGGCAAGCCAGCATCTTACAGGCCAATTTTAATGCAATAGAATGAAATGTATAGGAAAAGCCTAAGGTTAAATAGAGAGCGAAAACGATTTCCCCTGTTCCACCTCCAGCATGCAGCGGTGAGAACGCTGGAGGTGGAGGAAGGGAAATCGTTTCCGTTCTCTATTCAACCTTAGACTTTTTCTAGACATTTCATTCTATTGCATTTAAATTGGCATGTAAGATGTTCACTTGCCAGACCGGTATAAATGGGCACCAAAGGTAAAGGGTTTTCCAATCGTAACGCTTGATGTTTGGTAACAGCGCATGACGAAGTCAATAGTCACACAGGTGCTATCTTTGACAGCCTTATTCAGTTACAGCTGAGTGCAAAATCCTCTTTAACTTAAAAGCGCTTTTGAAAACTGGCTACTTTCAAAAATGTTTATTCTAAGCAATACAAATTTTTAAAGGTACACGGAAAAAAATCCCTTTAATATATTGTATTGTAAAAAATATATTATAGCATGTAAAATAATTTTATTACGATTTATCAACCTTGTATAATATTAATAATCACATATTTCTAATAAACGAAATAATAGCAATGTTTAATAAATGATTTAAAAAATTATAGTAGAATCTTTTGTCATAAAAAATGGGGTGTGGTTTTTATTATAAAATATAATAAATTAGGTGTCCTATTATATTTGTTTGTTAAGTCTATGACCTATTTGCTCATAGTAGCATTTTAGCATATTAGGTACTACAGTTTATAATACATAAATACTAAAATATACAAATTTTACCAACATCAGTTTAAAAAAGGTAAAATCTTACTTCATAAATTTTACTAACAAAGATTATACTGTTTACACACCCAAAATTTTTACACCCTTTGGGATATGCTTTTGCTTGCTTATTGCTTTAGTCTGCACAGAACTTTCAGAAGGGAAACGCGCGGCATTTCCTCATATTAGCACTTCGTTTTTGTGTCTTGTCTGTCCTGTATCCTTTTCCCATGGAGAGTATGAAGAATATATTGGAAAGTTTTGACCTTTCCACATTAGGAAATATTTGAATGTAAGTATCACTGAACCATAAAATGGAGCGTATATTTTTTCAAATTTCAGTTAATTTGAAAAGATTATAATTTTCAGCTAGGTGATATAGAATTTGGTGTAGTTTCCCGAAATAAGGCCAGTAGAGACTTTGCCAGCAGGTACTGTGACGAACTTTTCTATCGATCGAAACTGGGTACCTGATACGCCTCATTCTGAGGAACAACGACATCCAGGATCCACCTTCAGAAAAAAAAGTAAGTTCTTGATTTTTATATGTCTACATACAATATATAAGTACCTATTTTGAAAATTGTTGCTAATAGTCACTACCAAAATACAAATAGGATAATAACTTGAATATTTTTATTGTAAATTTTAGGCTTTTTTAGAGGATCTGGATCTAGTTCAACAAGTAACATCAAAATAATGGATTGTTTGATGAACATCGATTATGTATATCAAAATGGATTTTTTTTTCTGAATGATACCTCATCGAAGAAATATTTCTGAATGATACACAGAACATTGCCTAGTTTCAACATTATGAAATAACTAGCATTACCCTTCACGGCTTCGCCCGCGATTTTTCAACTTATTAGGCTATGTAGGTATTATCTATGGTATGTGTCTATGAAAAATGTTGTGTTTGACATTGCATTTGCAGTAGGTATGCTTTGTTTTCGATGACGACAAACCATCGATTACTTCTGGGGATGCTTCTTGATATTACCCTACTCATTTCAGATAATGACACCCTCCCGTCATAATCTGCGTGTTCGTATAATCGTCTTCAATGGCCTGGTTGATTATATTATTATTATTTACAATTTATATTAAATGCTGATGCCGTGCAGTTGGTGAGGTGACTGATTGACATGGTTTCGGGCACTCTGCTGACGCTGAGCTACTTACTGAACGGATTGTGCTTATTGTGATTATGCAATGTTATGTATGTACGCTTGTTGGTTGTTGTGCCATGAAAGGATTTATGTATTCAAGTCGCTAGTTGGTTCTGCTATGAAAGGATTTTGCAAAAATTTAATTTTAAACAGCGAAGTTGTTCCGTGTAGTGTAGACATGTTTCACATATTCGGCGAGCTAAAATCCGATTGAAGCCAAATTTCGTAAAACTGAAAAATTAGTTTTTAGATATTCATTTCAGAAGTATTTCAGAAAAAGAATGGCGTCGATATCTTATTTTATTATCAAGTTATGACAGCTTAAATGAATTTGTAACGAAATTTTTTGTGTAAGTAACCTTTTTTGCCCCTTCCACTTTGAATTTCAGAAAAAGCATGAATTTGTTTTTAGGTATTTATATAAAGAATATTTTAGTACAAAAACGAAGTCGATATCTTAATTAGAAGCCGAGAAAACTGAAAACATGTGAATTTTTAAAAAAAATTGTTTTCAACCCTTTAAAATTAAAATTTTTCAAAATCCTTTCTTAGCACACCTACAAATACGTAACAGAACATATCCTGAAAATTTCATGTCTCTAACTTAAATAGTTTTGGCTGGGCGTTGATAATCAGTCAGGACAAGCTCTTTTATATATGTATATAGATTTTTAAAAAAAATTGTTTTTAACCCTTTAAAATTAAAATTTTTCAAAGTCCTTTCTTAGCACACCTACAAATACGTAACAGAACATATCCTGAAAATTTCATGACTCTAACTTAAATAGTTTTGGCTGGGTGTTGATAATCAGTCAGGACAAGCTCTTTTATATATAGATGATTAAATATTCTCGAATTGTTCACCTTATTGTTACCTTATTATATACATATATACCTTATACTATATGGAATAAAAAGTGATACCGAAAAATATGTAAAAAATTGTTTTATTTATTATATACCTACCTTAGAAATTATGAAAAAATATAAAAAAATTTAATATAAAAGTGCAGTACAATTTATTATAAAACTATCGTATTATTTATTATAAAATTATTATATTATTTATTATAAAACATACTACACTTTAAAATCTACGTATTATTGATCTAATAAAACTGTATTCTTCAATTATATTACATCAAGTAATAGACTTTATAGTAAATTTATTGTGAAACATTTTAAAATTTTATAATATCGGTAATGAGAAAGGATACTTACTTATTCTCAATAGAAAATCTTGTACCTATATTGATTATTAGAAAAATATTATATGTCTTATTATCTTAGGTAATCGTCCCATATGGATTAATATTTTTTAATAAATGCTAAAATCCAAAGTCCATTTGGACAAACCGCGGACGATTGCCGCCATAAAAGCCAACATTACGCGCGTTATTACTGAAATTGAGCCACTTTTATGCTATATCGTCATCAAAAATTGAGTATCCAGGATTCAACACACCAGGCAAAGCCGCAGCGAACATATACATGTGTACTTTATAATAAAAATAAAAATATATCCTGTTCACAATCCGATGTCCACAGGTGCAGGTAAATTTATCACCTTTCCCTATCAAATAGCATTGAAAGGTGATTTTACCTGTACCTACCTGTGGACATCGGATTGTGAACGGATAATAGATCACTATAATTTTTACAATTTGTTTTATTGCGTTACAAAAATCGAACGCTTCTAATGGAAAACCCTTTACAAAAACAGCTTCATGAATATTTAGCCAAATATTTTTTGGAAGGGTTACTTTTCTTACCAGTCAATTTTGTGGTATGATTTTCAAATAGATGTGGCCTGTGAACAAAGGTTATCCCTATACTTCTTTTTTCAATATATAGTCTTCTCTGTTTTTTATACCCTGAAATATATTTTCAAATTTCTAGGCGAAAATCTAACAACTCTAACGGTGACGACTCCAACTCTGGCACGCTGAAAAGGCAACACTCCTACAAATCAAGAGGTTCAATCGAGTCTATGGGCACTAGAAGCGGGAATTCTACACCCTTATGTGGCACCCCTGTGAGAGAAAGAGCCAGTCCTTTTGGTGAAAGAAATAGTCCCTTCGGAGAACGTCCACCTAGTGCTACGTCGCTGAGAAACTCGCCTTTATCGCCACCTAACGGGTTGGAGATGTCTTGTATGGTAAGTTTATTGGTCCTGTATTGTACAATAGTAATGTAACCGACTGCTGAACGGGAACTGCACACAAGATAATGAAAAAGTTATCAATCATGAGTAGTACCACAGAATATATTATACTTGGAATAAATAACTAGTCTGCTATAAATAGATCTGCTTGCAAAGAAAGCGTTTGCTAGACCTTTATCAAAAGGCATTGCAATGTGGACAAGCAGGAAGTGATGAAACTGGTTTGATATATCGTCAATGCTCTTACAGGACATGAAATATTTGAGGAATATCTAAAGAAACTTTAAATACAATTAAGACTGCTGCATGCTGCTTTTGTAATGCGATCCAGAATACTGCATTTTGAAATGCCCAAAAATGAGGAGAAGGAGATCCAATATGCTGAGGATCATGAAAGTTGAGAAAGAAGAGAAAAAAAAATTGAAGGCAATTGGTGAACTAAAATTCTTGAAATGATACTTCACAGTGAAGTACATAGTACCTTCCATAGATACCCTAGCGAAGACTATGGGAAGGACTTGAGTAGGTTGGTTCAAACAACTTCTTACACTACCTAGGTTGCTAAAACACCAAGGGCCTGAGAGACATACATTTTATGCTTGTAGGAATTCGTCCTAAAGAAGCGAAATATGTTAAAACTGGTATGAATAGATATACACACAAATATATCTTGGGACAAAGAAGCATATAAACAAACTTATCAATTAACAAAATTCGATACTTTGTCTTCATCAGCATCATCTGTGTTATGCTTGAGATAAATTCGAAATGCTGGAGAAATGATGTCTATAAAGTAATTTCTTGATGCAATGAGAGAAGCACAGACGACCGAGAAAAGATCGCAGAAGAAAAACTACCCTGCATCAAAATTGTGGTAACCTACGGGAGAAATTTCACAAGCTTAATTTATCATAGTGGAAGATTTATTGTCGACAAAAGGACAACCTAATAAGTTCCTTCCTTAGATTTGCAACATAGACATGGGAAAGAGGAGATTCTTTTGAATTTTCGGACTATAGTCTCATCCAGATAAGATAATTACCTTCAGCACTGAACAGGAAATCATCTCTTCGAGGGGAGATTGACAGACTTAAAGCCGATAATAAATCAAAGGATAACCATATTCTACATACGTTTAGAAAGGGGAGTATTAATTATGGATGAAGAGATAGTCAAGGCCACAATTAAGTCTTTAAACTTGGCCCTCGATCGTAGTAGGAAGGAATTGGTGAACCTATGTTCAATATTTGACACAGTTGGGAATTTTTGAAAAGGAAGCTGTGGAGCTTAGAGCCCAAAATAAGCTATTGACAAATGAAAAAAATATATATGTACAAAAATTATTGTCTTTATATAATTGAAAATACTAAAGCGTGCCCAGAAGGATGTAGCTCTGCGGAAACAGTTCAAAATTTTAGCAATAAAAATATTTTTTTATAGATTCGCCTCCTAATAAGGAGGATTTCAGTAAGCTAAATCCTAATTATAAATCTCTAAATCAGAATAAGTCTGAATTATCTCTGTTGGGCAAATGGACACTCAATTATCTCTGTTGGGTAAATGTTCAGTCCCTAAGAAATAAGTAGGGATGGCAAAAATATATCCATATTTCGTAAATATCGTTATATTTCTCAAATATATCGATATATTTTAATCGATATCTTACATTCGATATATCGAAAAAAATATCGATATAATCTTTTCGATATATTGGAAATTTTAAATTCATGGTCGTGTTCACTAGCACTCAACATGTTGAAGGATTAGTGAGCGGTTTTGTTGAAAACAGATGAAAATCAGCTCTAGGTCAATCAAAACTGTTCTACCTTGTGTATTCCACTTGTCGGAACAAATAAGCTGCTCGCTCACTAATCATTCGACATATTGAGTGCTGGTGAACGCGACGATTGCCTTCGCTCGTGCTACAGTGACTCTATAACCCACAGTGGCGACAATTGCTGTCTTATTTTTGATTGGTTCAAAAATCCCATATATTTATATTGAAAACACCGCCATCTTGTTCCCAACCCCTTGTTACTTTTAAATGTGAATATATGGGATTTAGGTGAACATCCATCAAAATCATGGAAAACAACGTATTTGATGGACCTAATAATGGTCATCAAATACGTCGATTCCAATTTTTTATGATAGATGTCCATTTAAATCCTATATATTAATATTTAAAAGTAACAAGAGGTTGGGAACAAGATGGCGGCGGGACCTCTATTGTCGCCACTGTATGTAAAGGTTTATTTAGCCACTGTAGCTCGTGCGCATATTTAGTTCATTTGTTGACTGCATTGAGTTGACTGCATAGAGGTTGACTGTGACAATCTGACAGTTGACAATGGCGGCTAAAATAAAACAACGTCAGTTAGGGCGTGTACGTACCAACTGAATAAGGAAAAGAGACTTTCCGCATGATTAAGGGCGGGTATTATAAAACTACTTTGACAGTAAAATAGAAGTTAACTTCTGGAATAGGGTAGTTGCATGGAAAATTTAATTGATTATTGTTTATTGCAAACTGTAGGAAGTCGAAAAAAAATCGTTGCGTGTTTTTTTATTTTGTCCAAATATGAATATTTCGAAAGTTATACAAATATTGAGTTTTGTATATATAGATATACTGAGCATGTACGACGTCACAGCGTATTATAAGTTATGACGTCACAAGGACATTTCAAAGCGTTGTATCTCCGTCAATTTTTGACTAACAAGAAAAAGAAAAACACGTGTTGACTTTATTTTTCATGGACTATCGAAATCAGCAATAAAAAAATTTGATGCAAGGGGCCTATTACATGAGAAGTAACGTCATTGCAAAAGTTAACTTCTACACCTTTTCCAATTGTATTTCAGAAGGTGTCAAATGTATTTCAGAATAGTCAAATGTAGTTCAGAAAGCGTCAAATGTATTTTAGAATAGTTAAATGTATTTCAGAAAGCGTCAAATGTATTTCAGAAAGCGTCAAATGTATTTCAGAATAGTTAAATGTATTTCAGAAAGCGTCAAATGTATTTCAGAATAGTTAAATGTATTTCAGAAAGCGTCAAATGTATTTCAGAATAGTTAAATGTATTTCAGAATAGTTAAATGTATTTCAGAAAGTGTTAAATGAATTTCAGAATAGTTAAATGCTACTATTGAGCTCCTGTTGGGTCAGTCGAGCTCACGTAGGAAGAACTGCACAGACATAGGTAGGTAATTTTTTGTGTCGCCTCCCTCCTGAATTATTTCCGCCGAATTTTCACTTTTTGAAATGCTTTTGGTTATTCTGAAATACATTTTACGCTTTCTGAAATACATTTAACTATTCTGAAATTCATTCAACGCTTTCTCAAATACATTTGACTATTCTGAAATACATTTAACGCTTTCTCAAATACATTTGACTATTCTGAAATAAGGTACCTGACCCAAATAAGGCCATGTGCCTAATAAGGCCAATGCCCCTTATTGCTTAATATTGAATCCCATAATCAAAAATTGAAATATTATTGAAAAAGATATCTATTATGCAAATCAAAAATTATTGCGAGGATTCCTAGCAACTCATTATATGTCGAAAAATGGCTAACCACAGATTTCATATGTCACGTTATAACTATGAGGCTGGAACTTAATTAGTTTATACACATGTTCAGAAAGGGAATGGAGCGAATGTAATTTTTACATGGACATTTATGTATTGAGAAAGCTACAGAGTAAGTACAGAATAATATCTTTACTAGATTTCTAGTTACAGAATTTTGTTTATCAATGTGACATGTTCCTAACAAGGCCACATGAAAAATTTTCAATTGGCCTCCCATCACAGTGTTTTTTTAAAAAGAATGTGTCATATTATTGCTTAAGTGATGTGTTCTAGAACGCCTGAAGTCTAACCAAGCAAGAAAAGCTGCGGTTCATTTGTCCTAGTTGTATGTAGACCTATTCGGATTACCATCCCTGGAATTCAAATTATTGTTTTTTTAGAATGCAGCAAACGTTAAAGTTCTATTTTGAGAACTTTATGTCGAAAAATAATATTTTTATGAATGATTCTATTTATTTTAAACATTTTTTATTGTTGGCCTTATTAGGAGCATAGTGATCCGAATAAGGCCAATGGTAAGGGTCATTGTTTTACGCAAAAACCACCACTTATATGTAAAAATAAATAAATTGGAGTTATTATTCAAGTAATAGAGGCGAAACACTTCACATATAAGCTCGTGATTCTTGTTGGGTTTGGTGGATAGTGTTCGGGAAAAATAAAACTTCTTAACATGGCCTTATTTGGGACAGGTACCTTACATTTAATGCTTTCTCAAATACATTTGACTATTCTGAAATACATTTAAGGCTTTCTGAAATACATTTGGCTATTCTGAAATACGTTTAACACTTTCTGAAATACATTTGACAGCTTCTGAAATACAATTGGAAAAGGTGTAGTAATTCTGTCAGAATAGTTTTATAAAACCCGCCATAAGGAACGTTATTTGTCTACGATCGTGCGGAAATAGCTATTTATACAATAAGTTACGAAATGAGCGTCTTTTAGGCACGCGACGTGAAAATTGTCCAACGAGGCAAAGCCGAGTTGGACAACACGTCGAGTGACTAAAAGACATCGTTTCGTAACGTATTGTATACAAGATTTTTTCTACTGGCATTTTATAATAAAAAAACACAATTTTATTTCATGTGAATAAGTCGATTACACCCAAAATCTTTGTTACCTGCTTTTACTTGACACCTGACACTTTTCATGCGATTTTCTTTTCAAAATTCGACATCAATAATTAAAATCCTAGAAAGTAGGTAATAACACAAACTTCTGTTTTGAGTAACCCAAACGTTCAATTCAGTAATTCCATTTTCAATATTCATAATAAATACAAAACAAAATTCAAATATGTGTTTAGTGTGTTTTTTATTTCTGAATAATGAATGACACTTTTAGGCACTAGTGCTTAAAAATTACTTTTACGCACTCATAAGTCACTTTTACGCATTCAAAAGTCACTTTTACGCACTGAGTGCCTAAAAGTAACTTTCACGTACTCAGTGCCTAAAAGAATGTCGTTTCAAAACTGAAATGACAATCGAAAAGTTGCTATTATGAAACGTCAGTAGAAAAAGTAGTTTTCCACACGCATTTCAGGACATGAAAGTATCAGAGGGTGACCTAACATTGCATAATTATTTTACTTTCCGACACAAGTGCGGAAAAGTGATATTTTCATAACCTAAAATACGTGCAGAAAAGAAGCACTTTTCGCACGGTCGTAGAAAAAAAAATAAAAATAAAATATATATCGATATATTCAAAATATCGATGTTTTTCGTTCGATATATCGAATGTATCGATATGTAATTTCGATATATCATATGATTCAATATATCGATATATTGTTTTTATTTTGCCATCCCTAGAAATAAGTGTGATGATTTTTATGTATTTTTAGAAAGTGTAGATTATCCTAGCATAGTTTTAATTACCGAGCATTATTGGTTGAGGCCGAATGAGTGTTTTTTAGTTCCAGGTTATAGGCCTAAGTCAGTGTTCTATAGAGAGAACTCATTGTATGGTGACAGCATGATCATGATTCGCGGTGCATCGAACATTGAGGAGAGTTCAACGAGAGTAAATAAATTTGGTTACCTTTTGGCTGAGGGAATTTTTGAATTATCCATTGTCTTCCACAGAGAAATTAATTTATATGTTTTATGTAGTTATCGTCCACCTTCGGCACGAGTGTCAGAGTTCTTGGACGGACTTGACAGAATTCTGTCTCAGATTTCATCTTCTAAACTAATCCTGGCAGGAGATTTTAATATTAATGTTACCGATAAACAAAATCCTGACACGGTCCCGCTTGAAAACCTTCTTTAAACATGGTCTAACTATGCATGTGAAATCTTCAACTCGCATTGCCAGAAACTCGACCACGATCGATTATGTATGCTCCAATTTTGATAAAGTGAACTGCTATACCTTGAATGCAGGACTGTCGGATCATGAGGCTGTAAATAGTGTTTTTGCCACTGCTACCCTTCAATGTAAGACTGAACGCCGTCGTGGTAGAATTTTCAATGAAGCTAGTTTTGGTAGGTTTCACCAGTTGAGCCTTAATGTGGATTGGCTAGAATAAGACACTCGCCGGCTGCTTTTCATTCTATTGTGCTTGACATTTTCAACAGGGCCTTTCCACTGAGATGTATCAGGCAGAAGCGAAGGACCAGTAAGCACTGGTTGACAAAAGGTTTGAGGGTGTCGGCAGCTAATCTTCGATCTCTGAAGAACATAATAGTGATAGCTTTATTCCTTATTACAACAGGTATCGATCTATATATATCGCAAGCTTGTTGAAGTTGCAAAAAATGGGTATTATTATAATAATAGATTTCTATGTGCCAAGAACAGGCAAAGGGAAAGATCAATCATCAGAGACTTACGAAATGACTCAATTGAAATTTAATAAACCTATTAGTGATGTTGACATTGATCCTGATTTATTGAATCATTTTTATTGTGGTTTGGCAAGAAACTTGAAACAAAGGTTGCCTACATTGATGAACCCCCTCTCTCTTATTTAAGTAATATTTCCTTGCCAAATTCATTTTGTTTATTTCCGGTTTTGCCATACATGAAGTAACTGATGCATTTCATGATATCAGGAACACGAAGGCTAGGGGTGGTGACAAAATCTTAGTGCAAGTTCTTCTGAAGCTACCGCCTGGTGACGCTCTTTCGGCTGCTGTTTATAATTCCTGGTCTAGAATAGGGTACTTGCATGGAAAATTAAATTGATTATTGTTTATTGCAAACTACAGGAAATCGAAAAAAAAATCGTTACTTTTTTTTTTATTTCGCCCAAATATGATTATTCCGGAAGTTATTCAAATATTAAGTTTTGTATACTTAGATATACTGAGCATGTGCAACGTCACTAATCTATTAGATAAGTGACGTCATAGGCAGATTTCATAGTGTTGTATCTCCGTCAATTTTTGACTAAGAAGAAAAAGAAAAAACACGTGTTGACTTATTTTTCATGGACTATCGAAATCAGCAATAAAAAAATTTGATGCAAGTAGCCTATTAACCTTTCAAAAAGACAGTCAAGAAACCGCATCAAAAAATCTAACCTTATATCTCTTGATCAGTTTGGTTTTCACAATTCCTTGATCCTTGGGAACCCACGATATGCTATTTTTAGTTTTTTGGAAAGGGTATATTTTGGCTTGAACCGGGGTGAGGCGGTGGCGGCAGTGTTCTGTGATTTGTCAAAGGCTTTTGACTGTGTTGATCACGGAATACTGCTGTCAAATGGAATCAGGGCCCTGCTCTTGCTTGGTTCGGCTCATATTTGAGTGGCCGAACTCAGTCAGTTGTGGTCGCGGACACTAGGTCTCAGGTGCAGAGCATCGACTGTGGTATTCCACAGGGATCTGCACTAGGTCCACTTCTTTTTTTGGTCTATGTAAACAACCTTGTCTATGTGCAGATATCTGCAGACTTGATTAAAATTGAACACTGGTGAAATTCAAACAGGCTAACTTTGAATATTGGAAAAACTAATGTTCTGGGCTTGTGTGATGTAAGGGGGCTAAAGATGGAAAGTGGCTCGCTCCAGGAAAGAGATTCTTGTAAGTTTTTGGGATTGGTCATTGAGAAACTTTCTTCTGCTTGTTTTGCAATCAGGATTGCTAGCATGGAGCTGGGTGCTGGGGTGGCCAGGACTGTTCATTTTGCAGTTTTCGAGTCCCACTTGAGGCATGGTATTCCATTCTGGGAGCTTAGTAGCTAATACCTGCTCAACCTTATATTTATTCTTCAAAAAAAGGCTGTTCGCTCTATTAAGAAGATTGATCAAAGAGAAACGTGTAGACCTTACTTTCATTCTCTCAAAATATAAACAGTTAACAGAATCGGACAAATATCAGGGTCCCTGCATCTCAGCGTGAAGCGCGGCGGGCTCCTTGACTTGCCGCCTTGCCAATACTCACAAAAGCCTTGACAAAAAAATCTTCAACTCACAAGAGTGTAAAAATATTTAACCATTTACCGTTGAGCATTAGAAATATAAATTCACTAAGGTTCACTAGCTGACAAAGTATATTATAATATGGTCGAATTTTATACTATTTATACAGGCACTCTTATTTGATGCTATTTATTTCTGTGTGTTAGTTTTAGCCATTTGTTTCTCTATTGTGTATTGTTAGTTTTTAACCTTATATTTAGCTATTAGATTTTGTTTTCAGCTTTGTAGATGAGGGCTCGTTACACTTTATACAATACCTAAAGCATTTTTTGACTATAGAATCGAGTGGTCCCCCTTACCTCCAGATATTAATCTAATAGACTAAGGTTATATGTCCAGAATGCTAAATAACAGAAATCAGAAGAAAGTTATTTCAGAAGATTGGAAAAGCATTTGTCAACATATTATAGGGAAACTGAATCTTGCTTGCTGGGTTGAACTCAGCTTTTGCTTCTCCACGGCAATTTGCCTATTTAATCGATAGACGATAGCACAGAATAGTAATAGATCTTTTTGCTAAGAGAAGGCCTGCAGTCAAAAACTAGAGAAGGTGTAAGGTGTAACCAGGACTTGACATCTTCCAGAACTATTAAAAAACAGCTGAAGACATCAATACTATCAATATTATTGTTGGTACCTACCTTCCATTTTATCTTGTCAGTGCTTTTATTTATGTATTTGTTTTATTCACACTGTGAGAGCCAAGAAATGTAGCATCCTATATACCTTGGTATTTTATCTTATTCATTGAACATTGTTTTATTTCTAGACGGACTCAACTACATCACTGCCCCCACCTCCAGAAACCAACGGCGACGTAATCAACGACTCGCCCAGCTACCAACTACCACCACCACCTCCAGAAATCTACAATTCCAATTTGTCGTTGGATAGTTTACCGCCCCCACCTAATCCTGGTGACTTACCTCCAATGACTGGCAGCGAACTAACCGGAAGTCAACTTAGCCTCATGTCACTTCCGCCTCCTCCTGGTGAGGATACTGGTACAATAAGACGAAGGAAAAGTGGCAGTAATAGTTCCAGTGCCACAGCTACACCTACGAATATTTTGAGCCCAGAACAAGGGATGTCACCGGACCAAACTCCTACGCATTCAAGACTGAATACCCCCTCCGTGAGTCCGCCTCTGTCGAACTGTAGTACTCCAACTCAAACGTCGCCTCCCAATTCTTTTAGCCCTACGCATAGGAATGTAAATATTTATGCTCAAAATAGTCCTGTTTATGCTGGTCAAAACCATGATAGAAACAATGGAGGTGATTATAGTAGTACAATTACGAACGGATTTCATCAGACTCCACCTCCATATGTTAATCCTCCTCAGTATAACAGGCAGTCGAATACTTTACCAGGAAATTCACCTTTTGCCAACAACAATGGCTTGAGATCGTCTTTAAGGCAAGCCTCGCTTCCTAGACAAATATCCTCCAACAGTATAGCATCAACAAATAGCAGTGGCTCGTCAGGAAACACTTCGATTTATTCTACTTGCTATGAGGCTAGGAATTCTCCCAAATCTCAAAGAAAAGTCGCGTTCCAAGAGCCTGCCAGTCCTAAAAAGACTAATAAAAAGATAAGTTTCAATTTAACACCTGTAGAAGTACCTCCATTGCCTAAAAAACCGCCACCCCCAAAGAGGTCTGAATCGACTAAACTTTCTAGCCCAAAAAAACTGGTGGAGCCGCCAAAAGACTTTTTGAAAGACTTGCAAAGAGTAATGAGAAAAAAATGGCAGGTGGCTCAAAAATGTAAATTGGAACCTGAAACTACTCCGCATGAAGTTTTAGGATTTAGAGATCCACCAGCATTGTTGCCAGATTATAAAGAGCACAATGTGAGTAATTGGGTCAAAGAACATTACGGACCAAACAACCTTTACGAAAACGTGTATAGGGATAGTGTTGATGGGGTTGTGGAGTATGTGTCTTCGCCAATGCATAAAAATGAGGCTAGGAATTCTAAAAGACCGCCACCACCTCCACCAAAACGAAGCGAGTCTACGCATTTAAGCACACCTAAGATTCACTGATGCTGTGTTTCGTAATATAGCTTTTGAAATGATTTGTCTCATATCAGATTAGAGAGTTATCTTTCTAATTATTTTCAATAATAATTGGAACCAGCTAATTCATTAAAAAAAAAAAAGAATAACGGTGGGTTATCATAAATTATCCATAAACATTTTAGAGCTGTTACATAAGCGGGGAACAGAAGAGCAAATTCTAGTGCAAGAATAGGTTGTGTGCCTCTGTGCAGAGATATGCAATTTTGCTGCCTCATGTTTGGGTCCATTTTAGCCAGAATCGGAAATCAGACTAGGGTTTTGAATTACATTAGTACTCTCATTATTCAATCTAAAACATACAGAAGCGATTTCACGCAACGAACTACGTTTTGCTCTTTGCTAAAGTCAAAAACTCTTTATGGGATTCCTTACAATTCTGACTTTAGATTCTGGGACAGTATCGCAAATATGTTTGATTGGAATGAACCCACCCTATTGAGACTTAAAGGACAAAATACTGCTTCACTTTTGATTCTATACCCACTAGCCCAGTACCAATATAATCATTATCATAACAATATACAAGTGTATATTACATTTCAAGAAATAAAGCTACTAAGTTCTTTAATTTGCCGATTATATGACAAATTCCTTCAAAAGTTATATTTTTAAATAAAAAAACTGCCATTTTTTACCCATTAGCAATCAAACTAAGGCTTTAGGCTATAAGAATCTTTTCAACTGCCTGTAAAAAAAATGAATTTTCAAGGCAAAATTGTGATGATTATTTAGTGACGAAAAAATAAATGAATGATCATGTGCCATTGAATAATTGAAATGAGAATTATTTCAAATTTTTGAAATCCGCGTGTTTCAATAAACCTTTCTATGTGTATATTTTTACTTTATAATGGAAAAATGTCAAACATTTTTATGGTGCTTATAGAATATAATTAATTAATTTTTTAGGGACTTATAATTAGGCGAATAGCGAAATTTTGTGTGTTTTTTATAAATTTTATAATGATAAAACAATTTTTATGGCGAATATTAATTAAGATTATTTTTAATTTACGAGAATTTTTCAGTAAATTCTTGTATCCGTTAAGGTGTTACAGGGTTCAAAATCAGTTAACTTAATAATTTTGCTTAGTTTTTTGTTAAGGTATTTGATACTTTTGTACATACTTTTTGTATAGTTACTGATCAAGACACTTTTTGATCAACTCCCTATATTAGATTATTTCATTAGATATTTCCTACTGCTGCTGTGTATACTAAAAAAACAGTGGCACCACTTTTTCTTTATTATTATAAGAATAATTATTGTAAACTTTTATTTGAAGTTTAGAAGGTTTGTTTTTCTAACTTGGAGGATCTCTACAATGCCATTGCATATTATATACTTAGCTAATTTTTATTATAAAATTTTCTACTAACATTTTTTAGAATTAATAAGTTTTTAGTAAGTAGACAAGTATAAAATTTGTTATTTTTTTTTTTCTGAGAGTGGAATTTTATTTTTTCTTGTTTCTAATAAAAATATAAAAATTATACAATTGGGAGGGCGTTGTAGATAAAAAAATTTTCGGGACAAAACTATTGGTTTTATCGTTTTATCATTGTTTTAATAAAAGATTCTACGGGGTGCTTATTTGTAATAAACACTTTGTATACTGTCTACCATTTATATTATTGATATACTAACTGTTACATATAGTATTATATTATAAATAAAATCATATTTAAAATAAATTTAATCTTTTGTAGTTTTATTTATCAAGGATTATTTCAGATATGGGCTCTAATCTATACAATTAGCAGCATGTGGATGCGATATTATTTTTCTGAGCATCCCTGCCACAAAAAATGCACATCTTTATAGCATAGCAGTGACAACGAGTATTTATATATAAGTTGATATAAAAACTGAACGACAATATAATTGTCGGGATATTACTTTGCTCCACATTGGTCTAGAGCAACTGAAAATCAACTGCCCCTCTCTCTAATAGGCTTGGTCCTTGGTCACCAATAGAGGATAAGTTTGGTCCATCTGGATTCTGGTTTTATCTTGACCCAGAAATCAGCACTGATCCCCAGAGAATATCGGACTTGTTTTACCAGCACTTCTCTAGTATCTACTCGCAATGTGTTGAATGTAATGAGTCATTTTCATGTGATAAATCTGTGTGTCTAGGATTTGTAAGACTAAATGTTGTAGATGTTTTTAATAAAATATGTGTCCCGAAGCAAAGCCGTGGGCCTGGGCCAGATGGAATCCTTGTAATTTTAGTACAAAATTTTAAATTTGTTCTTTCCGAAATACTATATAAAATTTACAATGGCTCTTTGAGCAGTGGAGTGTGGAGTGTTTCCCGCTTGATGGAAAAAGCAGTGTGGCGTAGCTAGGCGTCGGCGACTGCCGACGGCCTCGCGCCCTAAAGAGCCTCGCAAAAAATAGGTTACCTACTGAACCTAAAAATTGGTATTTTTCGATTTTCCAAAATAAAACGTCGTTGAGAACAAATAAACTTAATCCTATAGGAAACTTAACTAAATATCATAGAATTCACTAAACATTATTAATTCTACTGCAAAATAACCTAGAACTCTCAAATCCTATGGTTTTTATTTTTTCGATAGATTGTCGGAAGGATTTGTTAGCGAAAAATTGAAAAATATTATTATTTTTGACTAAATATTGTTATTTCGTACGTAGTATTCTGTAGTATTAGCATTCTTCCAAGTTCCAAGGCTTTAGATCAAGTGCCTTAGAATCTTGCATTGGTCTCCAAAGCTATATGGTCTTGAGTCGAGTCTTTATTCTTAAGATATGTATTTCGAAACCTTCAGGATTTTCAGAATCTGCAATCTGCAATGGCCCTAGAATAATTGATCAATACGCCGACATCTTTTGCATCTTCTGATTTTAGCTCAGTAAATTCTTTATCTCAAAATATTTTGAGAAATGAGTCTTCAGAGACTTCAAAATCTCCAGAGTTTTCAGTCATGAGCCACAAAATCTCTAAGGTGTTAAAAGTATAAGGATTCTTCCTAGTTTCAAGGCTTTAAATCAAGTGTTTTAGAATCTTGCATTGGTCTCCAAAACTATGCTCTTTAAAGTCTTCTTAGCTCTTAGCTCAGTAAAATTCTTATTTCAAAATATTTGAAAAAAAAAGTCTTCAGAGACTTCAAAGACTTTTCAAGATCTCTAAGTTGTTCAAAGTATCAGGATTATTCTAAGTTCCAAGGACTTAGATCAAGTGCCTTAGAATCTTGCATTGGTCTCCAAAGCTGGGTCTTTAGAGTATTTATCCTCGAGATCTTTCGAAACCTTCAGAATCTTGATATACTCGAGAAAAGAGGCGCGACACTTAAAAAATTCCCGCCTTCAGCGGGCCTGCCATCCAGCGGCTGCCCGTCCCAGTCGTTTTATCCAGCTTTTTGTCACAAGAAATATTATGGCCACCCTACATAAAAAGGGCCGCGCCGACGTCCACGTTTGTTTTGGCTACACCACTGGGAAAAAGTCTTATGTTACACCTATTTTTAAAGATGGTGAGAGGGCCAATATAAAGAACCATCGCCCAATTTCTAAAATATGCTTGTTTTCAAAAATTTTTGAAGCTATAGTCTCTGATTATGTTACGCCTCATTTTAAAAATATTATAATAAACCGGCAACATGGCTTTGTTAAGAAAAGGTCAACAGTTTCAAGCCTACTGAGCTATGGCAATCCCTGTTGGGGGGAGCTTTCGAGAATAGGTAGAATTGATGCAATTTATACTAATTTCTCAAAGGCCTTTGACAGGGTTGATATTGGTATAGTGGTTAAGAAGCTTGGAGCTATTAGGATCTTTGGAGACCTTCTCAATTGGCTTGAAAGTAACTTAACAGGCCGAAAGCAAGCTGTAAAAGTTAAACATTATATTTCATCAGAAGTGGGTGTGACATCGGGGAGAGAGGAGTCACCTTTCTACATTCTTTTTTAATGTTTTTATCAATGATCTGAAGGACGTTTTTCGTTTTTGTCAGTTTCTCGCTTTTGCAGATGATTTGAGCTTTTTAAAGTTATAAAATCACCTCTAGATTGTCAAGTGCTGCAGGAGGACCTTAACAGGTTTTCTTCGAGGTGCAAAAATGATAATTAAACAGTTGATAAATGTAATATTATAACCTTTAGTAAATTGAAAAATCGAGTTCTTTTTAGCTATTGCTTGAACTCTGAGAGGTTAGAGAGGTGGAATCTAGTACAAGATCTTGCTGGCTAGATTCTGAGCTCACTTTTACACACTATAGTGATGTCACTACTAACAGGGTTATACGCCTTGTTGGTTTCGTTTTCAGAAGTTTAAGAGGTTTTGAAAATATTTTCACCTTTAAAGAGTTGTACTGTGCGCTTGTCCGTTCAATTCTTGAGTACGCAAGTTGTGTATGGCATCCACATTACTTGATAAATAAAGGAAAATTAGAAAGAGTTCAGAGAAAGTTTCTTAGAGGAATAGGTTTTAGATTGGGTACCTATGTCATATGAGGAGATAAATTGTGATGAGATTATGAAACTTTTAAATTTGCCATCTTTAAAACATAGAAGAATATCATTTGACATATCAATGTTAGAGGTATATAATAGTTATTTATACACCAAGTGAGTTAAATTAATGTTTATTCATGAGAAGAAAGTTTAACCAACGAGCCCTAGCGAGTGGGTTAATTTTCTTCGAATGAATAAAGATTTTAACTCACGTGATGTACCTATACAAAATTTTATCCCATTTTGTGAAAATTTTAAAAATAAAGTAGAAGGAAAAATGCCGGGAGTGAGTTAAAAATATTTTAAATCACTGAGGTTTCAGATTTTTCGTGGGGCAAAGCAATGACCTATTAACACAGATAGACAGAACAATAAACAATAATATCGGTTGACTACATGCCAGGAACCGCATAATCTCTCCCCACTACTTATTAATCCATGTGTTATTTTGTATCTTTCTCTAACACGTGGAAAGCGATTCTTTTTCAATGAAAATTAGCATCGCTGCAAAAAAATAAATCCCACCTCGAATTCCACCTTTCCACCAATCAGCGGCTTCTATTCAATTGTCATGTCAAAATGCGACCTGCAGGTATTTTATGACAATTTCCATTTGTCAATCAGTGCGCAGTGAGTGTATCCGCATCTTTTTCTAAAATTATGTAAAATATAAGGATAAAGATACACTTTTGTAGCACTGATTCTGGTTTCATTTTCAGAGTTGCCAAGTATGCGATAGTAAAATGGGGGCAGAGTTAGCGGAATCATTTGAATCCCTACTCCTAGCCGCTTTCACAGCTCACCCCCCCTGGCCCATAAACATGTAGTCAACCAAAACAAAGCTATTTTATCAATGGGATGTTCTGTCTATCTGTGTTAATAGGTCATTGGGGCAGAGTGACTTAAAATGCCGAGAGTGAGTTAAAATGTTTTTAAATCACTGAGGTGATAAACGTCTACTTACCTTTATTGTTATGCGTTCAATAATGTCATTTTTAAACGTCAAAATGGGATAATCGTTATTTATACACCAAGTGAGTTAAATGAATGTTTATTCATGAGAAGAAAGTTTAACCCATGAGCCCTAGCGAGTGGGTTAATTTTCTTCGAATGAATAAACATTTTAGCTCACGTGATGTATATGTCGCAGGCTTAATGTAAAATCAGTCTTATTATAATACGCCTAGCCTTTTTCAATACGACTAGGCATATTTGTAATACTACCCATATACTTAAAAATTTCACAATAAGACTAGTAATTTCAGTCGCATTATAATACGCCTGCTGCGTGTTAGTCTTATGCTTAAAATGAACCTGCGTTAGAATCCGACTAAATGAAATCCGTCGTATTTATAATACGACTAATGGCGCATCAGGCAAATTGCATTGAACAATAACTTTTTTATTCTTTATGCTAAATAGACATTTAAATTACCATAGTTTAAGTATTTTTTCCAAATGTCATCTCTGTAGCATAAATAATAGGAAAGCTAGCCTTCAGCGCAACATGTATCTGCGAAGAGTTTAAACTATATAAAATACAAATTAGAGATTTGAATTAATTATTACAGCATGATCCGCTTTCATGATATTTGCTACTACATTTCATATGAGCTTTAAAACATAAACCTTTATTGTTATGACACTGTGCTTTGCTTGGCTTGCAAGAACACTTCTAAAATCCCAGTCCTTCGAATTTTGGAAACTTTCTTAGAGCTTCTCCCAAGGAAATTGTTTTTCCTCGTGGAATGCAATCTATTTTCTTACTTTGGCAGTCAGTGATTTCTTCTCTTAAAAACCATCGATTCAACAAGCCGTGTGTATGGTACCAATTTCATAAACTCCATTCGTAATACTCACTACAGTTCCTAATATATTTTTGGGGTCCAGTGGTCCTCTATCTACTTTAGGAACTTCAATTGCAATATTTTGGCCGATATATATCAAGGGTTTTTAATTTTTCAACAATAATAATTATTATTATTCGACTGTCAGTCGTATTATAATACGACGAACTTGATCTAGTCGGACTGGAAAATAATCGCTTGCAGGTTCATTTTAACAATAAGACTAGCGAGCGGCAGGCGTATTATAATAAGCCTGAAATTATCAGTCAAATTGTGTGATTCCTAATTATTTCGGTAGTATCACAATATGCCTAGTCGTATTAAAAAAGCCTAGGCGTATTATAATAAGACTGATTTCACATTAAGC